ACACACACACACACAGGCAACAGAAACCAGGAACAAATACATATAGATGTGCATGTCACGGGGTCAATGTATTTCAGTTCTACGTGGATCTGTTTTTAGTACGAGAGTCTCCGGCGGGAACTGAATCGGGTTGCAAAATACCCGTTTCATAAAAGAAAACTTGTACCAACACTTATCAGTTCTTTAACACTATCAATGATGCTGATGTGTGAATAGTTTGTTTGGGCTTGTAAATATTGAAATAGTTTCTTTGATCACCTCCCTGCCTTTGTGGACTTTTCTTAACGGTCTCACTTCAAATATAGCATGTCCCTGTAATGAGTTTGTGATTGAGTCTGTGTGTGTAAATATCCAACCACAGGTCTGCATTTGCATCTACTGACCAGAACCTGGGAATAAACACGATACAGTAACTCAATTATTAACTAGTAACTTCAATGATTTATTCAGATGTAAGTACAGGGAACAACTAGCAGAGCTTCAGTGGTGGACCACAGTGAGTCAATGAAGTGACGATGTTCATGAAACGGAAAGTTAAACTAGATTATGTAGAATGACAAAAACAACTATTTGGGACAATGGTCTGACAGCTGAAAGCAGAATCGGCACACTGAAGAAAAATAATAGTTTTGAGCCCTGGTTCTTCTTCTTCTTCTTCTTCTGTGGCAGTAGACTGAGTATGTTTCTGTTCTGGACTGAAATTCAAAGACTCCTCAGGTATCAAGGTGATATGGAAATGTTGGTTACTGTGTCAGCACACTTCCCTACGAGGTGACCTTGTGTAACGCAGGCGTGCAGCAGCACATATATGATTTAAAAAGCAGGTCCGCACAGTTTCTGGGCCACTTTGAACTCCTTGGCACAGTTTCGGAGACATTACGCAGACCATCAGTGAGCGAGTTAATCAGTGGGCCGGGTGGGATTGCTCAACCACTTCCACATACATTACACAGGGGACTGAGCTGTGAGGTGGACTTAACTCTGTCTAACCTTTGAAACAGTCCCACTGAGGGGAAGACTCATTCATTCATAGAAAGATGGAGATAGTTAACACCCACACAAGGCTCAAACTGACTTGGATTACATTCGAATATAACTTGGACAGCGGATCTTTTGCATCTGAGCTCATTAATCAATAATCTCAATCCACACAAACCTCCAAGCTCAACTTTTGGGCTAGCTTTGACGAAAAGTCCTAAAAATGCTTCAAAAAATGGGAAATCTGTACATTTGAGAGGGATGACAGGGCTCTTTGTCAGGGTCTATGGATAGATGGTTCCCTCAGTGTACAGATTATAAAGCCATCCGGGGGGAAAATGGGATTCAGTCGAAAAGCTCTAGAACAAGTGAGTAAGTGGCCCTTGAGTGGATTTGTCACCTGTTTCCAAGAACAACAATGAACTATCTCTAAGCTCTATCAATATTATTGCTGCTACTTCAAAACAATGTGAATTTAAAAAGCCATTTTTCACTTTTTATCTTACAAAAAGATGAATCATTTCAATCTTTCCACTCACTACCTGTACGGAGTCAAAGCAGCAGAGAGTAAAGGAGCTGCTGATCTTGTTGTTGAGAAGTGGAAATCAACGGGGAAAGAGGCACAAAACACTGGAAATGTCATTTTTAAAGCACTAAATCCAACATTAGCAGCCCTGTCTGGACCCCTCACGTCCACCTTAAGGGACCCCTCTGGTCAAGAGGCCCTCCGAGCCTTTCACCTGTTCTAATACTTCAAACAAACCCAAGTTGCAAGCTAAATATTCAGCTGACACATTCAAGGCTCTGACTAAACCCCACAGGAGGGGCACGACACTGATCAGACTAACATTCACAATGACAGGCAGGATGAGGCCGTGAACCCCCCACCAACCAGAAGAGGTTATGTGTCCACACTGAGCGCTCTCCGTGGCTGTGTTGATGTTGTTGCAGGATTACAGCAGGCAGCAGCTAACTAACTAGCCTATTTAGCTCCCCCCGCTAACCTGACAACCCGGCTAGCCTGGTCACCGTCTGACAACAACCGGACTAACTTGTTTGGAGGGCGAGGTCTCTGAGGGACACTGCTGCTTTTATTCTCGCTGCGGAGCTCCTCACCTTGTCGCTGATATTCTCGGTGCTGTCAGGGTCTCCTCCGCCGCCGCCTCGCTTCCTCAGCTCCGTCATGTTTCTCGCTCGTTTCGCTGCCGGGGACGTTAATGTGTCACATAAGCCGACTCCGGGGGAAGGAAGGAAGGAGGGAGGGAGAGAGAGAGGGAGAAGGGATAAAATCCTTGGGTTGTTTTTTTTTTTCCAGATAAAGTGGCTGGGTATTTAACCCGGTTTTGGCTCTAAAGCTCGGTCCGTGAAGGTCAGCTTTCCTGAAAGTGGGCCGGTGCTGTCAAAGCGCTGCCACAGAGCTCGACCAGATACTAACGACTCCACTGCGTGTGTTTGTTTATCACCGCAGTCTCCGTCCCTGCCGCCCCCCTCGCACCACCGTCAAGGGCGGCAAATCAAGGATATACCGTTTCCGCCACAGACTTTCAAAGTAAAAGCCTTGCGGAGGAATAAGTTGCAATACTCACATTTACGCTTCTTTCTTCAGTAGCCGGGTTATAGTTATTAGTGATAGAAAGTTACAACCACCAAGTACATCCACTCAAGTGCTGTACTTAAGTACATTTTTTTTCTTTTCAATTTGTACTTTACTTGGAGTATTTCCTTTTTTACTCCACTACAGTCCAGAGGTAATATTGTAATACCACTACATTTATTTGATAAGTACAGTTTCTACTTAAAAGATTGAGATTAAAGATACAAAATCAACAAATGAATTATAATGTTTTATTATTAGTTTTGCATGCAGTCAGTTATACTTTCTAAAGTTAAAATCTTAAGCATTTTAACGTTGAGAATTCAATACATCTGAAGGGAAGTGTGTCATCACCAGATTTCATAGACCACAATACAGTTTATTTACCTGTCTGCTCTATGTCCAATCCATTCAATAACGTCTCCTATTGAGTGTAGTCATTTGAGCTATGTGCTTATTTGAAGGGTTTATTTTGAAGGACAAATCACACAACTTCCGGTCTCAGTCTGTGTTTCT